GTTAGCGTTAACCGGATGGAAATTGAAATTGTAACCTAAAAAGAACATTGCATCAGCTTCAACTATACCTAAGATAAGTTGGGTTTCAAAATACGATTCAATTGATTTCTCAAAAGTGGTTTACAGGTATCTTATTCAATTCAAGATCCGAACATTCTAATATCCATAGTGTGTTCAGTCGTGGTTGTGCAATTCTGATGAGCCATTGATCACGACAATTACCATTTCTGCATGACATTGGTTCATTATAAAAATTATCACAAAACTGTACAAAACTACTGACAGATCACTTTGATAGAAGAACTAAATAAAATAAATCAATGGAATTGGTATGAAAACAAGAAGACCATTTAGTTCAAACAGGACATGGAGCAATCTTTTGCAATAGTCTATCGTGTCAACAGCAGTCTACCTAATTCCGTCAGACTGCGAATCCTACAGACGGCTGAAGCAATTGCTATTCGGATCAAAAAGCCAGAGCTTTGTATCCAAAAGAAGTATGTTCAGCCACTCCTTTTACCCTGGCCAACTAGCCAATAATCAATATAATGTGGTGACGTAATCTGATTAATGTTCATTTTGTGTCCCAAACTTATTATTATTATTATTGTCTTTACACTTGATAACCCCTTTTTGAGGAATTTATTCAATATCCACCCCTGAATCTACTATATTTTACCTAATTATTTTACATATTACGCAATTTCTGATTTGTAATCACAATATTCTCTCTCTCTCTCTTACCCCATGTTGACCATATTTATTCTGATAATTTATCTCACAATTTCATTTCGCTTATAAACTGATTCAAGTTAACACTTCATATTAGTCGTCCCAACATTAACGATTTTATTTTATATAACAAACAATTCCTGATTCATATATTACAATTTCCAAATGATGTATTTTGCCTTAAATCTGGCCAATTTTATGGATTGTTAATCTGGATTTATAATTATAGAACCTGATGAGAAATTATTGAAAAGAATATTCTTCGTTCATACAATTGTGTTTTTAATATAATGGGAATTTTTCAGCAAAACAAGAAGAATTCGAAAGAAAATGTGTGTGAGTTTCTGAGGGTAACTTGGTGATTTCAAATACTAAAATGGTCTGCCATTTAAAGCTACGTTTAACCAGAGTAACATTATTGTTACCACAAATTATCAGTAGCATTATTTGAGATATCAATTATTGTAGTTTCCTTATACCGATTTTATCATCAGAAGCTCATATGTTGTTTTCTTACGTCATAATGGTATTCATACTGCTCAACAATTGAGTTCTAAGAAATAAACCCTCCTGAATTACGAAAATACATTTGAAAATCGAATACAATTTGCTATCTTCTAAAATTATTTCTGATACCAAAAAAAACATTATTTTGTTACTTGTACCACTCAGTCATCTGTTTGTCAACCAAAATATAATACTCTCCAACGTGCTGTACACAACTAGTCAATATAAGACACAAATTTATGAATTTATTTAACTGTAAATGAAGAAATTTTGATCAAACTTATTTTTATATCTATCTTCTTAAGAAGTGGATCAAATGAATATCAATGCAGTTTTCATAGCGTGCGTTTAGAGAATAAAAAAGATTTATAACTAAATTATTGGTCACTTGATGATGTAATTTGCAGAAATTATTTTTTGCATATCTTATGTGGTGGTAATTAATTTGATAAGAATCTTAATTTAAGTTCTTCTCACATGCATAAATGTATGAAAGTGTGAAAGTGTACATTTATACACAAACTATGGTTTAAGGCCAATTATAATAAAATATTTATTACTGAAGATTCAAACAACGTTTACTAATGTATCTTTATATCGTCAGAATACATAAGTAGGATAAAAATAATAACAATGGTAATAACTTATTATGGTTATGATAATAATAATTATTATTATTCAAATAACAATACAGAATAAAACGATTTATTTTCTTCGTTGCTTATTCGTTTCCTATCAAATTTCTCCTTGAGGAAAAAACTAAAAACGTGCATATATAGACATTTAGAAAGTAATCTATTAATTGTAAGCCATTGTACGTTACAGATAATCAGTTTTGTATTCGATCACTTCAAATAAACGACCTCCCCACCATTTCTCCACCTTTATATATGTATGCATAGAAAGTTCTTGAAGTCTTTTGAATATAATTGAGGTCACGAACCGACTTAATCCAGACAGTCATTAAAAATCAGGAGGCACGTGACAGTTGTTTCGTCCTAGTAAACGCCTCATGTGAGACTATAATTTGTAGATGACTTTTGAAAGATGCTTGAGTGACCTTAGGATGTCGACCAATCTACTAAGGTCAAATGAATGACATAAATAAACGTAAGGAATCGGAGATAGGATTTACAGTAGGACGCCAAAGTTAGGAATAATAGTCAGGGTTTCCATCACCAACTGGCACAAGCTATCATGCCAAAATGTTATGTAGCTAATTGGGTGAGTGAATTTCACGCCAAAATTCAGGACCTGCTGTCTCAAATTTAATTGGTTCATCCATAAGTTATAGTCAGGCAACGGACCCTTCAGAACTACAACCCTACCAGCCATTTAATGCTTTCTGTTTTTTGGTACTTCTTGATCTGAGTGAATTTCGTGATCTCAATAACATTCAGCAAGCTATACAAGCCACTTGTACTGGTAATTATTACATGCTCACTAGTGACTGACTTCTAGATGTACTTCTAAAATTTATACTGAGAAGTTGTAACCAGTGGAGGACAACTGTGTTATATGTGAAGCAGTAACCCAAAATTGAAAATGACTGCGTTATATTATGAATTTCCAAACCAATTAATTGCTGATTTTAAAGTTCGAAGAATGTTTAATTTGTGAATTTATGACTGTGAAGCAAGAGAAAAATATTCCCCCTATACATTTCCATTTTTAAATTAACTAGAACAGATCAATAATGATAATAATCATATTTACAACAATAATTTATTTCATTATCTGTTTTTGACAAAACTAAAGACCTGGAAGCAGTGGACGGCCATTTCGTCCTAGTATGGGACTCCTTGAGTTCTAATGAGAAGCCGTTACCATTAGAGTTCAACCAGGTCTGTTGCGAGATATCAACCCACTGAAAACAATGGTGTACGTTGGCGCAACTTCGCGGATTGGTTGAAGTTAGACATTAACACCGTTGGATGCCAGCTCAGTGGTCTAGTTGGTTAAGCGCTTGGCGCGAGACTGATAGGTCCTGGGTTCGAATCTCGCGGTGTGTGGGATCGTGGATGCGCACTGCTGAGGAGTCCCATACTAGGACGAAACGGCCGTTCAGTGCTTCCAGGTTCTCTACGGTGGCCTAGCTTCAATTGACCATGATTTCAATCAGTGAAATTTCTAAAATCTCCACAAAACCCCTTTTAATAAAACTAAATACATATAATTTTTCTCAGTAAGCTTTTTATTTTAAACTATATTGTAGTGTATGCTACATATGTTGACAGATATTAGTAGTATGTAGCACGATCAGAAGTGGAATGCGTGCCAGCAGAAAAATCAGAAGATTCAATTGCACAGAACGGAATATAAACAGGGAGAGCAGTTGTAATAACATCAGAATTGAAAAAAAAATTCATAAAATGTGTAAAAGGACAACTGAAGGAAGATATGCAAATATTGTATTTCATGTTGGTTTTCATATTTTACGAATGAACTCTATAATTTTGCATTAAACAATAAATTAGTTTTCCTCACTTGACTTCATTGTTCACAACAATATGTCAGAAGAATTTTACGAGTTATGAATAACATCTGTTTATAAAACATTCATCAGTTTATGTGTTGTAACATAACTTCGATTCTTTTATAGACAAAAATAAATTGAAACTAATTCATTTTCATGATATCAGCTAAAATGACTATATGACTTATGAATAAAATAATTTTTGATTATACATTTAAATAAAGTAATAGAAATAGTGAAATGTTTTTAATCATGGGTTCTCTATAATGTAATGTACACATAGGATTGAAAATATTTCATTATTTCAGTTATACCATAGTTTATACTGTTATATTCCGACAAGAATGATGAAAGGTAACTGTTAGGATCTATTTATGGACTAATGTTATACGTATATTTTAATTGTATGACCATTAAGTGACTGTATTATATGTATATTTATATTAATTTCATTATAAGCTTTTATTTGACTTATTGACTCTTATCATACGATTTAGTATTCTTGAGATATTCCGAATTTATTAGTAATGGTTCCTCACAGTCACAGCCTCTTTCTGGGTTGATCTTGCACAAATGTTACTTTCCACTTTATGTTGTGATGTAGTCTGATTTTTTTCTATATGAACCAAGTATGTTTTAAATAAATGATTGGTATCGCGGAGGTTGGGATTGGTGTTCTGGACTTGACAGGTAGGGCTAGGAGGAAAAAGGACTGTTCGAGACTCTATGCTACTTGTACTAGTATATGAGTCATTAGTTTATTTGTATAAGTCCGCATATCGAAACTGGCTATCGTACTTCGTGATGTTTGTGTAAGTTAAAGACATAAAGTATACAACTCAATCTTAAAGTCATCAGTGTGTTGAATTTTCACTTCTGGTTGAAGTGAGTATAAATTTCTGTAATTCTAACTAAAACTTCAGGATACCCATGATGATAATAAACTATTCACACTAGAAATAATCATATTTTACTATCAAATGTTAGCTTGTGACGAGAATCCCTCTTTAAAGCATATTTAATTAACAATTTAACAAAGAATCGTACTTAAAAAAATAAGTTTCGTTTCTTTTGCTTACAGTTATTTCGATGACTTATTCATATGATTATCATTAATATTCAACTGGTATGTAATTAACATTCACTATCAATAATTCATAGCAAATTAAAATGGTGTTTGCTTCCTCTGTATTATTATAATTCAACATATATGGGAACAAATTATATATGTTCCTCAAAAGTAAACATGTTATATGCAATCTACTAATAATCAAATTCTATTTACCTTCAGATGTACCACTGAAAGCGACATGGCCACTTCCTTTAATTGAATGTTTATTACCATTAGACTGATCATTAGGATTTTTATTTATTTCATGTTGTTGTTTACCATCTGTATCATAGTTTTGATTTGTATTCCTTGAAATTTGTGTCATCTCATTAGCATTAGCTAAATTAATTGGAGGCGGTGGTGCAGCAGTTGAATTGTCTCCTTCAGTTGCACCTAACAATGTAAATATAATACCAGCTTGTGAATTCACTCCAACAGCTGTAACAACCATTTTACCAGAACCTTCCATAACATGTGTACCTAGAAAAAAAGAAGAGAAATGTAACATTAAAATATTAGTTGCTGAAAGTTTATTTGTTTTGAATTTATTTATGGTTAGAAGAGATTGATTTTAAAAACTTAAGGAAACATAAAAATTTGAAATACTGGTAAAAATTAGTTGTGAATAATTTTGTTACTAGGATTAAAAGCTAACATTATGTATAGAAATAGACCAACTTATATAGAGATTAAAGTGCAGAAACATAGCAATATACTAGATGAATTAAGTTATTTAAAAAAACTTTTTTTAATATCTATTCTGTACATTTTTATGATCATCTATAACGGCTGATTTTTTCAATTCAGTTATTTCCTTTTTTATACACCATGCATATTTGACTATGTTAAATAATAAATATGGAAACGCTTCGTAGTATTATTTGAGGACAAATAGCTATTAAGACGACAAGAAAAAGTATACTGTTGATACCTTTGATCAGATCACTGACAATTATACTGGAGTACATGTTTTGCATATAAATATGAATTTGCAACTCCCTTAAAGTCAGTTACTCTTGTTGATATTTAGATAAGTATTTGACATGTATTGTCATAAGGCAAGCTACGCAAAACAACTAGTTCAAATGACCTGTAGTGATAATTTCATTCAATCTCTCTAAACCAGCTAAATTGATCATTCTATGTTCTTAGCATTACTCAAGATAAGTGTTCGAGAACACTTCTCCTGTTATTGGTGAGAAGAAAAAAATGGAAAGATCTAAAATCTGAGTGACAATGTAATACCCTATATAGATTGGTCATTTAATCATAATAAATTCCTAATTCAATATAATCTGCGAAGCAAATGGAAAGTTACCATAGGCGTATTATCTTTTCGCCTGTATTATGCTAAAGACTTTATCATAAACAGAAGTTTTTTTCCTATACAGACAAACGAAATTTATCTTGTTTTTTTCGCTTAGAATAGCAATAATCTATCGTCATACAAATTATCACTCTATGATATTCTTTAAGTCATAAAACACGAATGGAATTATTTTAGCTTTTTTATCGTCTTTAATTACTATTTTAGGTTGTCTTGAAATAATCTTTTTATTAATGACTTATATTTCGAGCTTTATAACAAGAATAACATTTTTAAAAAAAACTATTCTTACTTTGTTATATTACTACATACATTATCATTACTACTAATATTATAATAAACAGAAAACATTACAAGATTTGTTTTTGCAAAATGAAATGTTTATTTCAATAGTTGAATTCATGAATCGATATAACTTAGATCACCACTGAAAACTCAGGAGCACTTGACAGGGAATCCATCTTATGAGTACATGATGATCATTAGTAGAATAGGATTTGCGGAGATGAAATGCTTCTATTAACTATTGCACGATCAGTAAGATGAAATCACATAGAGGTGATTTCTTCAATAGATTACTTACTCTCCATTTTTGCTTCAATTTAACAAACTTTGCTTATAGAAAATATCGCATGAAAAAAAACACCCAGACACAACTTGTTAGACTGAAAACTCTTTTATCAAATGAATAATAAAGTTTACTGTTGGAGCATTACATATGAAATACCATGCTGCAAAGATGAAAGTAAGACTAATTTGTACAATTGTAGGGTTATAAATATTACTCCAGTTATCCTTGGAATAAAGGAAAATATTGTATACGACAAAGTGCAGAAAAACTTATCAATAATTCACAACATGGCTTTATTCACATCATTCGTCACTTTGACCTCGTTTACTTAGTTATTACAGAACATAATTTCAGACATTTAGTTTAAGTGCAGTACTTAGCATATCTAAGACGTTTTAAAAAGTTAACCACTAGCTTCTAATAAGTAAACACATGTTTTATAGGATAATAGAAACATTGCTTGCATAGTTTGTTTTTTTAGTTGCATACACGAAGCAATTTAAATAAGCTCCTCTCTATCAAACGCTCTTCGATAGCAATTTGTGTGGTGAAAAATAATACCATTGGTCATTTGACCGTTATAGCTCATATAGACTGTGTGTGTGACTGTTAAAGCATGGCTAAGCATTTCCTGAATGCGGATGATTATTAGGCGATGTATTCGTTCTCTCCTCACGTGCTAAGTCATACACAAGCCGAATCACAATGGAAATTAGTGTTGCTCACTGATTCTGAAAATGGAATTTAGAAATTACATTACTCAACGTGGGTTAATTTTCTTCGCGCTAATTTAATATTCTCCCAAATAATAAAGAAATTATATCTTACATCCACCAATCCTATCCACTATGCAGAAACACTAAATTATAGCACTTTATAAAAAGTGATATTGTTTCATTCGAAATCTACTTCCTATATGAAATACGTTGTAAGCAAACTTTTGTTAGTCTGTAAAAATTTACAACAATCCGTACATGGAAAAGATTCAACAACACTGTTTGCATGCTGCAATGATGATTACCTCTCCTCTGATACTGCTTACACCAGAGACTTCATGCATCTCATCCACTAATGAAAGTGATTATTCGTGTTGTCCTCCATGTTTGATCTCAAACTTTATTATCATTGCATTATTCAACATAACACTAGAAAGATATCTATATCATCCGGTCACAAAGCACCCAAACACACATATGATGAACAATCTATCATGTAATTCTTGCTACCGTTTCTTTTAGTTAGTTTTATATTATTATCATTATCATTATTATTATTATCAAAACAAAAACAAAATAGGGATTTATGACGCAAAGTTAGTTTATATTAATCGACACGTAATTACTAATCAATATCGTAACGTCTACTCATTGAATTCAATCAATCAGTAAATTGTAATGTTCAATTTACTTTTAAAACTAATGTATTGATCATGTTTCTATTAGATTATAGTATATTAGCAACCTATATAAAATCAATAATGTCAATTACTGACTAAGCCAGCAAATAAATAATCCCTAAGTAATATAAATAACGTTTTACTAAACCTGTGCATATATATATTGAATCGACTTTGATCGTCCTGACTGTACAATCGGTAACGACAGTCATTTTATGTATAAAATCTATCTACTCCTTTATATAATTTTTAAAACTATCTAACAATAATACCTGTATGGAATTTCAAAATCTGATGTCTTTCAAAATAAAATAGTTTAACTATATTCTAATGCTTGTAATGAAAATTAGCTTATTTATAGGGTAAATGTTATAATGCAATATTACGAATCAGTTTTTTTTTAAAATGAAAATACAATGTTTTCATTGTAACATGAATAATTGTTTAAATAATGAATAGTATATTCATAATTAGGTTATTTCGAAGCACAACACTAACTGAAAACTGCTGTGTTTTTTTAAAGTTTGATGAAGTTTCCTGAAATGCATAACACATAAACAAATGTCTATTAAGTGATCTAATTATGAAACATTTATACACTACATAGAAATGACGTGTAAACTGAAAATAAATATTTATGGGATGACATTTACTAACAAGAAATTTTGTGTGTAAACAATTTCAAAAGCTTGTCAGAGAAATATCAAACATAATCAATAATAATTTGTTATGATACCAACCCTTGTACATTCATAATAGGAAAATCAAATAAGTAATCCTAGTGGTAACAGACTATTTTCGTTAGATCTTAGGTAGCTTGCGAAAATCATTAGGTAGATCCGAATTAAAATTTTGAAATTATTGGCACTTGACACTACGGTACAACTCTAAACCTTCTAGAACTGATGTGCCTCTTAAGGCGTGAACATTCATTATGAACAGGAGTTCAGTCGCTGATCAAACAGATCAGTAGTAGCATCTCTGCTTGCGAAACTAGATATAATGGGTATGTATTCCACTTGAAGCATCAACATTGGAGGTATGCCTTCCTAAGTAGCATAACACTTGAGTAAAGGAATCCCGACCGAGCGGATTAAGCCACATAACATAAAACAATAGTTTACTCGACACCGAATCACTTACACGTGTACTTGAAGTCAACATGGTAGGTAAAATGAGATCAAAATAGCACTCAGTAATTCATCAACATTTCATTATAACCATCTCTATTTTTAGTATATAAAAAACACTAGTGATACACATGAATCTTTTAAAATCTCATCTTATTCTTCTTTAGCTTGTTCGTATCACAATAATCTTTTATCCGTACGAAATGATACCACATGAAAAAGTATTCCCAGCTAAAGGATACTGAGCACCTGCTTCATCCTGGCTTTCCTACTTTCTTAAGTGTGATTCTCATTCAGTAAAATATATAGTCTTCATAAACCACTTAACAAAATGTATATTTTCGAATATTAAAAAAATGTATTTGTGATTTATTTGTTTATTTCTTTCTAACTAGTTTACCCTTGTCAAAAACAATGACATGGAATTCATATGATCTAAACGGAGAAAGTAAAATAATAAACGATTTAAAATTAATAATAAATTAGGTAAATAAGAATATGGTAGATTAGTTGTTGATTAAAAACTAGGAAGAATTAGGAATCGGCATGTATTTTCACTAAAATGATTATTTGGAATGACATGTTTGTATGAAAAGATTTTCATTTATTATAATATTAGTATTTTTTTATTACTCAAAGTAAATCAAGTTAAATTTACATTGCCATAAATAAGGTCGAAGCAATGAGAAGTCAAACACATAGCTACTTCTTTTATCTTTATTTCCCTGGAATAATGATTAAAAATGAATTAAGTGTTAGGTAGCAAGATGATCAAACCTCGCAATGTACCATTGAAATATAAGGTTATAAGGTTTAAGTTTTGTGGGATTGACTACGATTGGTTTATGAACGAATTCAATGTAATTATAATGTATTTTATCTAGTATTTATATTGTATACAATGTGCACTTGAAAATATTTTACATATCAGTAAGTATCCTTTTAAAATGTTTCGGCGAGACCATAAATTATGGACGAACCAATCAGGTACAAGATAACGAGTCTTGGATTTTGGAGCGAAATTCATTCATACATTCGGATAAATAGAGTTTGGCA